CCAGGGGCCGCGCTGGCTGGGTGCGTGATGGGAGCCCACGGCAGAGGCTGCCAGGAGCTGGGCTCAGGTCGCCCGGGGCATTGGTGGGCATGTGTCTGGCGCCCGGGGACAGGGGCATCTCGCTGACACGCCGCTCCCACCTGTTGCAGCCTGCCGTCCGCGCCCTCCGCACCTGGGGGAGGTCTCCCACCCGCAGGCCCTGGTCCCGGGGCAGCCGGAGACCCTGCGGTGCCGGATCTCGGGGTTTTACCCCGGGCAGCTGGCGGTGACGTGGCTGCGAAAGGGAGCGGGAGAGAAGGCGCCCAGGCCCCTGGAGAGCTCAGACCCCCACAGGATGCACACCCCCGCCCCCAGCCCCGCGCCGGACGGGAAGTCCTACAGCGTGGAGTCCGAGCTGCGCCTCCCCCCCGCAGGGCCCGAGGACGCCGGGGTGGAGTACCTGTGCCGCATGCAGCATGAGGCCCTGAGGGAGCCCGAGTCCAGGTCCAGCGGGTGGCTGTGGGTCCAAGGTAGGAGCGCGTGGGCCGGGCAGCGCGGGGCGAGTCCGCGGTGGTGACACCCGGGGGCTGCTGTGCTCTGCACCGGGGTCATGGCCCCGTCTGAACAGACCCCCACTTGGACTGAGCTTCCTGGATCTGCTTCTCAAGTGCAGGGGGCAATTTCTGGGTGGTTTGGGGTACATCCCCTCCGGTCACTGCAGGAAAATGGGGGAAAGCACCGAGCACCACCAGCCTGAAGGAGAACATGGCCTCCTGTCATGGCCCAGAGTCACAAGCGGCGAGGCTGTGTGGACAGGATGCACCCGGGGCTGGGCTAGGTGGGTGAGGGGAGCCCATGGTAGGGGCTTCTGCGTAGCTGGGCGCAGGCTGGTTGGGGCGGTGGGTGGGTACGTGTCGGGTGTCACAGACAGGACACCTCTCCCTCCTGTAGCTGCCCCCCGACACCCCCTTGGGCTGAGCTTCCTGTCACTGGTTCTCAGCCTCAGCAGCGATTGCTGGGCCATTGGGCACGTCCACTCGGGCAGCCCGGGCTCTCAGCCCCGGTGGCTGTGGGGAACATGGGCTCCCGTCAAGGCCGAGTTCCTAGCAGTGATGTGTGTCAGGGGATGTTCCTGACCCGGACTGGCTCCCCCTGCTCCGATCCAGCTCCTGTCTGGACACCACACATCCCAAGGAGCATCCTTCTGCCTGGCTCCTGCGCTCCCCCGTGCCCCAGCAGGCAGGTGCAGCCTTGGCCCTGCCTGACTCAGGGGGAAACCCAGAGGCTCGGTCTCTGCCAGGTGAACAGACCCATGGGCCCAGATTCATAGATTCATAGATGTTAGGGCCGGAAGGGACCTCAATAGATCATCGAGTCCGAACGCCTGCATAGGCAGGAAAGAGTTCTGGGTCTAGATGACCCCAGCTAGATGCCCAAGTCACAAGCTTGTTTCCAATCTTTCCTAGGCCAGAGAGCATTCTCCAGAGGCTCAAACAGCTGAGTAGGGAGGAGGCAGCTGAAGACAGAGGCAGCGTCACCAGCACCACATCTCGTGTGCTCACCCAGGCCATGGCAGAGATGGTGCCAGGAGCTGGACTGTACTTGCTGGGCTGGGCTGGGCTGGGCTGAGCTGGGCTGGGGGATTAGCCTGGGGCTGGGGCACAGGGCCCAGGGACTATGTCATGGCTAGGCCATCCTGGGTCTATGTTGGTAGAGGCTGCTCTTGGTGTCTCCTGTCCAAATCTGTGATGGGGCCTGGCAGGGAGCCCAGGGGTAAGGGGGGGGTCCATATGTAGCCCAGCCCCACATAGCCCCTGGGCTGCTGCAATAAAGACGACAGTGCTGACGATCACCCGCTCCAGTCTCTCTCCTGCCCAGGCCTGGCTGCCTACACAGGGGCTGCAGCTTGGGGCTCTGCTCCGCCCTGTGCTGGATGCTGCACGTTGTGGGGAAGGGAGGTGGGGGCTCTGGACCCCCTAGGGCAGGTGGGCATTGCCAGGTGATGGTGCTATGCCCCATGGAAGGGATAAGCCATGGCACAGCCACCATCCAGGAGCCAACGGCTGTGAAGAAGGTGCTCGAAACAACCGGGTGTTGGACACGGGAACAGGGAGGCCGGGCCCTGCCAGGAGGCTTGGGGCCCCCCTGGGGTGAAGGAAGCTGGGCCAGCTGAATCCCAGCCCGCAGTTCCTGCTGTTTCCCCAAACCCTTGGCTCAGGACCAGTGTGTGGCTGAGAGAATGAATGCTTGAGACAGGAGTTTCCCCTCCACTGATGTTGGGTCCCTCGGCAGCAGCACACACTGATACAAGGACACCTCGCAGGAGTGGGCACTGCATGGGCTGGTTACAGGGTGGAGGGTAATGGGGGCTTAGGGTGAGCAGGACCTAGTGGATGCTGTTTGGATGCAAGTGGCTGCCTGGGCCGGAGGTGAATGAGTGAGGATCTGAGAGCGCTGGACACAGAGAGAAGGTCCCAGGGCAAACAGGGAGAAAGAAGGCCTTCTTCCACTTCAGGGAGGTCTTGCTAGACCTGGGCTGCACGGCTCCTGGGGAGATCCAGGCATTGCAGGTCTCTGCAGCTTTATTTGCCCGCCCAGGTCTTCCAGGTCCCCCAGGTGACAGCTACAGCCGTGAGGAGGCTGGTATTGGAGCCTCAGACGTGGAAGGCAGTGTCCCCTGCCCTGTGTATTGTCTGGAGCCCTGCAGGACTGGGGCCTGCGGGCATCTCCTGATGGCCATGTCCCAGGCGCAGCAAAGGCTGCCAGGTGTGCCAGGCTTCCCACCACTGAGCTGCACAGCTCAACACAGACACAGGGAAGTGGAGCACGTGAGGCCAGAGAGTTTTCTGTTCCTGACAGGGGCTCATGGAGAGGTGCTGGGTACTGGGGAGGGCAGTGCCCAGCTCAGATACAACCTGGCCTGACGGAGATATGACATGCAGGTGGTTTGTCCATAGTAATGAAAGTGAGTGCCAAGGGTGCAGCATTGCCAACCCCACGGTGTCAAAAACCATAAACTCTTAAAAATCAAGAGACTTGGAACATAAATCATGAGATGCTATTTTTGAAGTATGTGTGTGGGGGGGGAGGGGAGTAACTGGTGAAGGTGTGGGGGGCTGTGGGTTTGTGTGGGGTTTGAAGCTGGGGGTGGGGGCTGCACACCCTGGCAGG